GAGCTTCCGTTTTAAAATCTTCTCCTTCTATTAACCATTATCTTATTCATCATCTAAATTATTGAAAGTAGACATCTTTCAGGGTCCCAATCATAGCATCTTTATGATTCCTTTATCACTCTTCTGAAAATGAATCCAAAATAGGATGATCTTGAAAAGCAGACCTTAAAGTATGAATGTCCATTTTTGGCACACATGAACTTTTATGACTGACTAAAAGAAATGAAAATACCTGAAGAAACTCATCCATAAGAGATGCTAAAAGAACTAGTGGGAGATTGTGAATGTTCTGTATGCACATTTGAATAAGCTTTCTGTCTGACTTTAACTTGTAAACTTGTGGTGATAGAAAATGAGAATTAAAAATTCCCCAAACCAGGAGGCATGAAATGTCATTAAATCTAGCACAAAATTTCTTGAATATGTGAGATAAAGGAACTCGTATATCCAGAGTGAAGATAAAATATCAGCTGACAAGAATCTATATATCTGGCACCTACACTGAGGCATATGAATCTAAAAATCCAGTAATGCCTTAGCCTTTGAAAATACTGGAAGTTGGAAATGTATTAGGAAAATCAGTAAAAATTTTCTTCCTACTATTCAGCATAATTTCCACAGAAGAATTCAATACAATACTTGTGCAATAATAAGGAGATATTAAAACATTATCTCCACCTGTAGAAAACAAAAATATAAACTCACCTGTCTTCTAAAGAGAGTAGTTGAAGAAAAAAGATTGGAAAGATTAAAGCAGGTCCTGTTGGCCCACCTTTTATCAAAACAGTTTTAAACTAGGTAAGTGTTGAACTTCAATTCATCTAAATCGCTCAGCTCTGTCATCAGTTCTGTGACACATTCTAATTTTCTGACTCATTTGTGGTGAATAAGCGCTCCCTTTTCTTCTCATAGTGCTTAGAGTAACCAATTTTGTGAATTATGATTACTTATTTTAAAAAATTCAGCTATTGTTGTTTTCTCTATGTGAAGTTTGTCTGTTATGCAGTAAGTCCCATGTGTAGAAAAGCCCTTGGCCAGTAACTTTGCCTCGGCTTGGAGTTAGTTAAGAGGAGAGACTGACAACCCAGATTCCGTTTTTAACCCAGCCAGATACCTCAGTTGGCAAGCAGCTCAGCGTCCTCACCATAAAATGGGTATAATAATAGCTTTCCTTACCACTGTGAAATATTTAGAATGCAATCAAGCCAAACCTATCTCCTTCCAAAGAAAAGCTTAAACCAGCCTGCATAATCCTGAATGAGCCCAGATTTTAAGGGGAAGCATAAAGTGGGAAACACCTAGAGGTAGTATAATTTAGTGGTTAAAAGAAAAAAAACATGTAGACTTTGGAGTAATACAGACTTACATGCTAGCAGCTGTGTGATTTGGATTTCTCAAATCTCCTCCCTCCCCCAATAAATTGGAAGCATCAGTATTTTCTTAGTGAGGATAGGATGATATAGTGTACCAATGCTTCTCAAACTCTTCCACTTGGGTGATCCTCAAGATAGTGATCCTAGTGCCTGCTCAGACATAGCCAGACACAGTGGACTTTTCAGTGAGGCCTCATGTGTCACCCTGAAAATACATGCAAATTTTGCTTTCTACAGTGTATTCTTCTGTTTCACCAAATTGGAAGTTCTGTAAGGACAAGACAGAATCTATTCTCCTTCTCCTGTAACATCCAAGAGACAGTTGTTGCATAGAAGAATGCATTACAAATAAGAATTTAAGTTGCCCACAAAGAAAACTGATCCTCCAGGAAGTCAGGCATGTCTTAGTATTCTGAAGCTTTGTGCATGCAGTGTTACACTCTCCATACCCCAGGTATAAACAGTCGAACTGAAGAATTTTACTTACCAAACTGCCTGAAACCACAGAAGGTACTCAGTAAACTTTAGTAACTTTTTTTATCATTATAATTTCTCTGTTCCATGCTTCTCCACCATGGTATAGGTTTGTACCTATGGGCGATTTAAAAAGCAAATTATAAAAGGCTATGAAAACAGGTGCCTGGGAAGCATTAAAGAAGCCCATGTATCTCTGACATGCTCACCCACTTAGAGCTCTATTTCTATGTGTCTTCCTTACTTTGGGGTTCAGCCTGTTGTGTTTGTTAGAACTTCCTAGAAGCAATGAGCAGTGAGATTTAACAAGGGTTTTCTTTCCTCTCCCTCAAGGCCGGGATAAGTAACCTGAAATTCATAAGTGAACCTTCATGGGGTCTGGGAGCTCCTTGAAACTTGGTGTTTTTGAGTTTTTCCTGGAGGAGTTTGCACAGGAATCTGTATCACCTCCAAATGTCGGAAACTCCTGCAAATATTATGTAGATTGAAATTAGAACTAACTAATCTTTAAAATTTCAATTAATAATACTTTCAGTTCCTTGGATATTAATATTTTATAAAAATTTCTACTTGGAAATCATAAAGCTTAGACTCTAAGTCACCCCTTCCACTGTATTTTAATGCCCTGAATTATTTGGGCTATAAAGTTTTATATTCTCTGCTTCTTACCATATCTGTTTGTTGATCCTAGCATGCTTAATGCAAATGTTTTATGGACAGCTCTTTGAATTTTAGATATAAATAATTTGCAGACATATCAGGTGAATATCACTAAAGTGGAAAGGATGTATATCTATAACATAACCATTTGGACTGAACAAAAGTAAATCTCTGCAGATTAATACACATCTTCAAAATTTAAAGGCATCTTGTAATGCAATCAATAAGTAGGAGTTCTCTGATGTTAATGAACATTTATGAATTGTGTAAGTCTGTGAGATTAAGTTTTAGCCTTAGTATTAAATTTGGGATCAGTATTATTGGTTTGCATTAATATATAAGTACAATTACATTCAACAAAATCTTCAGTTTAACTTGGTTTTGAATTATGTTAGACTGACATATACTGTGATTTTTCTCTTCATCTTGGATTCCTGTCATTGACAGCCTCTGTGTCATTTGAAATCAGGAAGGATCACTTTTCATTCCAGACCTTTGTTGTATTAGTCAATCTAGGTACAATTTACATCCATCTCTTTTGATCACATCAAAATTAATTTTGACTAATTTCATGAATAAAATGCTCATTGAATTTTAGAAAATAAAGTTACATGTTTAGACATATGAATATAAACACTAAGTATAGTTAAAAGAGCATAATATATTATTGAAAGTCATTGGATTTATAACATGCCACAAAAAAAGTGTTAACAACATATTTTATAGAAAACTGCTAGCCATATTTTTTGTCTTCTCCTGAAAGATTAAGAAAGCAACCAAAAGAGTGGTGGGGAGGGGGTTAGAGAGCAGAAAGAAAGAAAAAGGTAGAGAAGGAAAGAGGGAAAAAGTAAGAAAATGTAAACTCAACAGTTGAGTATCTTGCCTTGTAGAAAAGAAAAAATTTAGAGCCTTCAAGTCTTTCAATACTAGTTTTTATTTTGTATTTCAAATTTGAATGAACTTTCAATAAATCATACATAATCTTATTATCTTGCTTAAACTTTCATTAAACTCATCAATTTTGTGAAACAATTCGAAAGCGTGGGAGACCCCTAACCTCTCTTGCATTAGCCTGTATTGTGATCCAGGCTGCAGATTTTCTTAACTCTTCACATCCCAGTAGGGCACACCTGCTTCTTACCTGCATACATATGGGCAGGTTTCACACTGACCATGCACAGGAAGCCAGTTCTTTGGAAATTTCTACAGTGGTGACTTCATCCAGAAAACATGATGGAAATGAAGTCTCTATAACTGTTAGTTTTCTGTGTCAGCCTTTTTCAGTACAAAGTTATTTTATCAGGTCTTTCTACTTGACCTCCTTTAATGAAGTTTGTTTTGCATATCTCTGGATGCCTTCTGTGAGTGGTTAAAATTCATCCTATCAGACAGACAAGAATTCAATAAGTATGTGTGAAGTCCTTGATATGTATATATATATGTATATAGTGTGGTCTAAATGGAATGACTTGTTTTATTTTTCTCAGCACAATTATTTGGTTTATTAATTTCTAATAGATTTTCTGTACCCTATTTGTTTTCTTCAATATGAGTCCATCAAAATAATGGTGGACAGACCAGTCATATGCAAGTTCTTTAGCATGTGATTTAAAGATTCTGAAGGAGAATTTTTAGATTTTAAATATAGATTGGGGAAATATTAAGGTCAACTCCTACTATGCCTATAATTTTTATCATTACAGATACATTTGCAGGCACAGACACTGTAGCTTAAAATCACTTTGTCTTATTACTTCCTACTAAGCTGGTGAGATAGGTGGAGGAGGCAGGATCAGAGTGGGAAGCCAGGACACCAAGGCTGACTTAGCCAAGTTCTCAGTGTTACTGAAGGTCAGCAACCTGTGGACATGCCAAATTGTCTAGAGGATCTGTGAGGGATTTACCATTACCAGATTTTTTATCAGAATTCAACTCATCTTTGTCAAAATGTGCTGAAATTGGTGAGGTTCTGTGTAAGCACAGCTTTTTACCTATTTTAGTTAGTACTCCCCATTAGAACTTTTTGCAGTGACAGAAATGTTCTGTCTCTGTGCTCTTCAGTGAGGCAGCCACTAACTACGTTGGTTTTGAGCCCTTGGAATGTGGTTAGTGTGACTGAATTAACTAAATGTTTAGATATTTTTCTATTAAATTTTAGAGAATTTTAATTTTAAAAAGTAATGGACTGGGCTATTGTATTGAACATCAGGTTCTAGAACAGATACATTCTGACACAGATCAGAAGCAAATTGACTGTGAAAGATCTTGGCATTCCTTGTGCTGAGAAGTACTTGGTCAGTTGTCATAGCAAGGGTCACAGCTTTGGAAATTTTCTGTGAGGCTGGATCTCTTTTATTTTGAGCTACAAGTGACAAAATGGGATCCTTTGAGGAAAAAAAAAACAGTCCCATTGATGCTTAGACTTGTTTTTCTTGTCCCCACTGTATCATTAGTTTTGTGTTTAATTCCTTGGTTTTTTTCTTTGTTTTTCAGTTCCTTGACCATCAGTTTGTTGCCTGCTCCTTCTATTTATGTAAGTAAGAGTGGTTTATTCACCTTTTAAAAAATTGTGTCAGATTTGGGCAATGTTGGTCTTTATTGACATGTTTTGTAGTTGACTTGATCTCTGGCATTTGTTTAGTATGCACTAGCTTCTTTCATGTTTGGAGTTGAGGCTGTTGGTAGTGGTGGTATGTTACCATCCAGGTGGGAGCTGAAAAGACCAGTGGCCCAAGCTATTGTTCTTATATAGACTGCCTTTTACTTGGCCACACTGCTGTTTTCAAAAATCACTGCTCTTCTTAACTGCAGCTTACATTTTTCTATCAGATATCAGCCGTGAGTTGGGCTACTAGTGCACAATTATTTATTCTTCAGTTTCTCACCTATCTGTAGGCCTAACAGTTTTTAATTTAACTTCTAGATCAGAGGTGTCTTTTTACTAAGGAGTATAAGACTGCAAATTAAATAGGCTAATTTTTTGTGCAAAAATTTTAAAGTTTGGGGGGAATAAAAGAAATCTAGGATTCATATGTGCCAATAGGCATATAAAAGGTACCATTGTATTTTAGAAAAAAGATGAGAAGTTATTGGGAAAAAAAATTTGATTTCAAGTGAAAAATCTTTTCTGATTGTTGTTGTTATTACTAGAACCAAACCAGGCTGAACTGCGAGGGTTTGGGTTTGAATACTTACTTTGAGTTTCTTGAAAGAGGTTTTGGGGCAGCAAAACCAAAAAAATCAGCCACCACAAAAGGCACTGCCCAAGAAATTCTACAGTGAGTGACAATCACCTGATGTGATAGATAATCATCAGCATCCTTCTTGCTACATCTTACCCTGTGATTCATATTGTCCCTTAAAAAGTGTATCTTATTTCACTGACTCTTTACTCCACAGTATTTTGTGTGTTGTAATCATCTGTACAAAAAGGAGGTCAGCATGGCTTTCTTCCTTATGTGTGGCTTCCGCTAATATTCCTATGAGCTAGTAGCAAATATATTTAGGGGACCTGAGACTTCCAAAGGATTTTGAAGCTATAGTCTAGTTTGGCATTTATTTGACAGAGAAAGGCTGCTGCTATCTGTGATGCATTCATGCAGCAGAGGTGGGTCCTACTTGCCCCTGACACATCTCGTTACTCCCTGTTCTTGGTGTTGATAGAGTAGATCTGTTAAGGCTTTGGAAGATGGCAGTGTGCATACTTATTGTTACCACTTTATTTATTTACGTCCTTTTCCTCAGTTACCTAGCACTGCATATTTCTAGTCCTCTGACTGGCAAATCATTTTCTGCTACAATTCTTCTGTGTAAAAACAGTTCACATAATAGCTCTGTGTTAGACAAGGCATTAATCCTCACATCACCGGAATGAGTCAGCACCATGCACTCCTGCCTGCACAGCTCATCTATTATGACGTCAGTGCTTGAGGGCAAGCTTCAGACACAAGAGTATAAGAGACCTGTGTCACCTATTAAAAATCGAGGAGGAGAACTTTGAGATAAAAGATATAATTGAAAGTCTGTGTCTGGCTCATAGGAAAATGTAACATTAATTCTGTGCTGCATCAACCATCAGCCAAGCAGCTTCTAGAGAGAGAGAATTTTTTCTAACCCAATATAAGAGGAGGGCAAAGGCCTATGGTGACTTGATAATCCATTCATGTCCTCATGACCTTGTCCCACCCCTGGGTCATAGTTCATGCTCGCTTTGATTTTTCCACATTCTGAGGTTGCTTTTATGCCGGCAAGGTGACAGTCCTGCTGTCCTCAAATGGCCTGTGGACAAAGCTGATGGCTTCAGGGATGGAGCCTCGGAGGCCCATCAGAAAAACCGGAAGCGTTCCTTGTGAACAGATCAAAACATTACCTTCCCAGTGCTTCTCACTCCAAGTGACTTCTCTGGACAGGTGCAGAATTCTGCAGTTTTGACCTCTCCTAGGCACTTCAGTTAGTCCAATGTCCCAATCTGGATTTGACCCCAAGTTCAATAGGAACTGAATAGCTGCCAGATTTTTTCCAAGAGTTTTCCTTTCAGTTAGTCTTTAACAGAAGCAAACAAACAAACAAAAAAAGGAATTCACCATAACGTACCATATTGTCTTGAAGCAAGTAGCAGAGATTCTCCCTGTTTGGGAAACCCAGTTCTTATAAGTTGGGCCTCTCCACAGGTCAAACACATCCTTCAGACAGTACCTTTCTGTATTGAAAACCATATGGTAAGTTAGGATAATTTACTGCTTTAGTGATACTCTCTGTTAAAGAAAAGACATTCTTCTATCGCAGTGTCCATCTCCCTGTCTTACTGTCACCCAGACAATCAATCACCAGCCTCTTTGATAATCATCAGAAAATGCCTTAGGCTGGGCTCTTCCACCTTCATTAGATTGATAATAGTCTCCTACCATGCTTATAAAAGCTAATACTACTGTTTGTCTTAGTTTTGATTGATTATCACCCATAGATCTTTATTTATTTTCAGTCAACAAACATTTGTGGAAAACTTGTTACTATGCTATATTCTGGGAACTCCAAAATAAATAAGACATGATCCTTTTTTAAAAGATGTCACAGTATAATAGGGAAGTTAAATAAGTGAATAAAGACTATCTGATGTGATAGTCATAAGAGTGTAGGTATACACAAGATATACGAAGAAGAATCAGAAAGGAGTGCCCATCTGTATGTGGGGAGGTGCCCAAGATGATTCTTAAAGTCAAAACAGTGAATAGCAGTATACCAACTGGACAGAGGAGAGGTAGAGAAAGAGGATTCATAATCAGGTAAACACGAGAACATTTATAAAGTGAAGAGGCATCGAGTTACAGCCAGATCCATAGGGCTGAGTGGTTTTGTGTTGCTGAAGCATGGTAAGGTGATCAAAAGAGGAACATGAGAGATGGAGCTGGGAAAGCAGGCAGGCGGAAGATCACAGAAGAATGTGTACACCATGCAAAGGAGTTTGGACTTCCTTCTGCAGGCTCAAAGAGATTTTAAAGAATTTAAAGCAAATTTACATTTTAAAAAGAGCACTCTACTGCTAGAGATTGCTGACTAAGAATAGGGAAACTGGGTCAAAGGTGAAAACCAAGAACCCCAGCTGTTCTGTAGGGCTGCAGTAAAGAAGAGAGGCTATTTGGGAGTGTTTACATAGGCATTAACATTTGCAGAATTCCAGCATATCTTGGTCCACTACATAAACCTTGCCTTTTAGGAGAAAGGTTAATTTGTTGTATGAGGCCAAATTTCGACCAAAATACATCCTCATGGAAGCTTCCCTTGAGAATCTCACCTTACTCCAAGCTGCTTCAGGTCTCCAGGGTTATGGATGTCCTGCCCAAAGCAGGCATGAGGCAAGAGGAAAGGGAGCAGATAAGAAAGTGTTGCTTTTCTTTCACCTGAAAATCAAACCATTTCCTAATAATGTCTCCTAAAATCAATTAATGCCCCAATTTCCTATTGTTTTCCTATTGCTGCTTTTTCCGAGAAGAATTTTCAAGCCATTGAACTGAATTGCAACTTATGCACAGCCGGGTGTTGAAATAGTAAAGTATATTCATCTCTTCTCTCCGAATGAGAGTTCACCATAAGTGTGCTTTTCTCTTGTTCACTTTGGGCTGCCAGGACAGTTTAAAGGAAATGTTCAACAGCTTATGTCTTGTGTATCCTGTTCGTGAGACAAATGGGAGAATCTGTGTGGGTGTGTTTAAGTCTTCTCTATATTGCTTCCTAGAGAAAGGTTTGAGAAGATGAACAAGATGGGGAGTAGGGACCTACTGAAAGCCCAGGTCCCTCAGTGACCTGAGTGCAGAACATAGGCTGGTGATCAGATGGTCAATTATGTGTTTGTCAAAACACAGTGGGCTGCATTCCAGCCTGCCAGCTTTGGAGGCCCAGCTTCTGCCAACCAAATGTCATCTGGGAACATGCAACACTGGGCACTGTGAAGGAGTTTGAAATAGACCACGCCACAGCCAACCTACTGCCACTCTTATAGCACCAATATGGCATGCACAGCCGGGCCCCATGTTTCAGAGCTCAGGAATTCACTGTACTAAATTCAGGAGGTCAGATGGGTTCATGTTTTCAAAGGCTGTGTTCTCTGCTTTGAACACTGTGACTTGCTCCTCAGCAATTTCCAGGGGATTTTTCCAGTCCAATGTCTGTGGAAACTACTCTTTTTGTGATAGTTATGAGGACCTCGTAAATGTCCTAGAGGACAAGGGAAAAAATAAACTTGCTCTGACAATGACTGTGATTCCTATAAGGGATTCCAACTCTTAGGAAATTACATTAAAGGTGCATAGCTTTTAAAATATCAGGAACCACCTTGGCAACTTATAAAAAGCAGAAGGGCTTTGCCTATTTTATAAGTGATTTGCATATACCTGCATAAATAATGTCCCCACCTGTACTTTTATGCATTTAGGTTGAATAAATTAAATTCAGTGATCTTTAAAATATTCACTGTCTTTCATTGCTAAGACACCATTTTCAGGACCCTTCCTCCTCTTTTTTTTCCCCCCTGTAGTGGTACTGGCTGTTTGTTTTTTTTTTCCCCCCAGCTAATTCAGAGAATCAAAACACTGTGCAGACCAGTCTACCAGGAGTGTCATCTCCCTCTGCTTGAATTTCCCTTAATTTTCTATCTGTCAAGCCATGTTCCATATATTTTTTCAGGAGAGGAATGGTAGAATCTATTACTAAAATGAAAGCATGGCACATGCTACCTATGTGTATACTCAGACTTTTCTTTCTTTGAGAACTGCCACAGCCCCTTCAGAAACAGTCCAGCTGCTTAAGTTGGGCCTTCAAACTGAAGCCTGGTCAGTAGGCCAGTCTCAGCCACATTCATTCCATAAAAATTTTTTTTACTGGTGCCGGAGATCAAACTCAGTACCTTGTTCTTGTGAGGCAGGCATAGTCCCGCTGAGCTAAATCCCTGGCCCCAGTAAGATATTATTAAGCACATACTATGTACAAAGAATCCTGTCTAGTGGAGAATTAAAATATAAATATAGGACACTGTCCTTA